CTAATTCTAAAGCACTAACACACTGAAAAATGTAGTAAAAGCTAATTCTAAAGCACTAACACACTGAAAAATGTAGTAAAAGCTAATTCTAAAGCACTAAAAAATCTAATTGACACCTGAAACATTCTTCAGAGTCAACATGAGACAATATTTACTGTGTGCTGGATATTGTCACTTAGTGCCCTTGCTGGGCCAAATTAGTCACCCACAGGCCACATGTGACCTGCGGGCCTTGAGTTTGACATGTGACCTTACAGATACACGCATATGAACAAAATGTATGATAGTTTTCACCCTCAACTGTGAACAATAATGTTGATCAATAACATTTATAGACCTCAGTTAGTGCTTCTAAATTTAGCCCATAAATTTAGCAAGTGCTAATCCACTAATGAATTAAAAAAATTACAAAAGCCCTAAAGCACTAATCAAGAAATTAGTTCCCCTATTAGTGCTTTAGTGCTTTGGGGAAACCGTGCCCACCACTGTCTAAATGCAACATGATTTATCCTTTAAGTTTCAGAAGTGTCAGACTCACATGCATTATGGTGGCCCTCAAAGGGACAGTTGTAATTAACTTTGATGTTTTGTGTTTAACTTCGACTAAACACAAAGCTTGTTTCATTGTTATGGCTGAGCACATTTTACAACTAATAACTGACCTCTATGCGGTATTTCCTGCATAGAAACAGTGTTTTAACACACCCTCTTTTAAACACTGAAAACACTACCTGTACGACTGACTGAACGTTAAATAAATAACACAGAAGCACTATTAAAAGTAAAAGTATGAAAGTTTGACTCACCATTGAGTGGTTGTGAGTTCATCATTGATATAAAAAACTAGTTTCTTATTAAATTAAGTAACCATTTATTTATTTATTTATTTATTTATTTATTTATTTATTTATTTTGCAGTCGGAAGGAAGTCATCCACGGGCCACATTTGTTCCGGGGGCCTTGAGTTTGACATGTGTGAGTTATTTCCTCATAAAGTTTTTATTTTTTAAATGTTTTGCTGACACATGGCTGYATTACTGCGCCTGCTAGCAATGTGCAAAGAGAAAAGGAAACYATTTTAAAACCTCATAACTTTCTAACATTTATTGGTCCAAATGATCTAAAAAAAACAAGTGAAAGTTCTTCCTCTGTGTGTTTTTACAGCACAAAGCCTCACAATTAAAAAAGTAGGAGTCATTTAAAAAAATACAACAACTGCAACAATAGAAGCATCAAATTATAGGAATGCATTTTGGAAAATTGTGGTTTCTACAGATACATATTTACATAATCTTGTTCCCGTTTTTGTGTGTTTTTAGGCATTTTCTTTTTAAATAAAAGATTATATCACAGCTTTTTTCCCCACTTCCATCTCTTTAACTCATAAAAGAGCAAAAGATGGCCTGAGGGCCACATAAATCTGGCCCTTGATGTCTTTAATAGCAACAAGAAAACGACGATTTCACCAAAAGATCTTGAAGAAATTTAAAACCAGAAAACAGAGAAATGGAAAGCACGGTTTGTTTTTAACAACAGTTAAGCTGTTGTAAATTACAAATTTTAATCGACAGAGACAGACTTCCAAAACAGAAAAAATAACTAGATTTTTTTTAAATCAAAAAACTCACATGTGTCCCTTCAGGCAATCTCTKTAATATGTTAAATAAATGTGTCCTCATTGAAAAAATAATAATAATAAGCATATCTACTTGGTGATATATTGTGTTAAAATGATGAGGGTGACATCTTGGGTCCATTATTTTTTAGTTTGTGGCCCTTCAATGTGCTTAAAAATGTCAAAATGGCTCCCTGGAAGAAAGTTGCTCACGTAACTCTGACTGAATAAACTTGTTTACGATCTGCTTGAATAGAAAAAAGGTTGACTTTGTGCAAGAAGTAAGAATCATTAGTCACAAGTTTCCTTTAGTTGACAATACTGCGCTGATTTTAAAAAAGGCTCTAAAACATGTGTTCATCTGCTGAAAGAAAAAGCTACATTGGATAATTACCTGTGACTACAGAAGAGTCATTTGACCTGCATGAATTCGATTGAACCTTTTCCCACTGGTGACAAAAGCCAGACTTTTGTGGGTATTGGTGGTTTGTTTGTTCACCGTGAAAAGGAGTGAGCAAAATGCCTCCGAGCTTTTAATTGTTTTAGTGAGAAGCTGCGAGTTAGTTATCTTTAGGATCTCTGACTTCTACCTGGGGAAAAACATGTCATAGATTAAAGCTTGTTCAAAAAAAAAAAAAAAGCAAAATCTTTAAATAAAATCTGGAGCATGTGGAGTCACAAAACTACACTTAAAAGAAAGAGATCTGTGATCCGGATGATTTATCTAACCCAGTGCTGGCTCTAGCCATTTTGGTGCCTTAGGCGAGTTGAAGCGCACCCCCCCCC